ACCCTGGAGATCAAAACAGAGTTTTTATATTGTGTGGACCCGGCTCTCTCGAGATGGCTGCAAAAGGGCGCAATGCAATCGTGCAGAATCAATTGGGACAGACTCGGAACGATTGTATGTTTTAGAGAGGGCTGGGTTTGTGTCATTCATTGAAAGGAGGATGGAGGGAGGGTCATATTTTAGACTATAAGGGTGATAACTGCCTTTATTTTGTAGGGCTGCAATAATATTTTGATAGCTTAATTTGGGCCGCTCAGTTCTGGTTTTGTGTCAGGGTCCGTTGAGTCCGCCGATTGCTTGTGAAAGCCGACCACATGTTCTGTTCAACAACGATGTCGCTCAATCGGCCTCAAATAATCCCAAAAAGGGTGCAAATGATTCTTGACAACGTCTGAGGGCCCGCTGAACGGCGCAGAAGCCGCGTCGGGAGTTAATAATAATGTCGCGATGAAAAACTGCTTTCGGGAGTGCAGATAGCCCTTTGAGTGGGATTCGTGGAAGTTCTTAAAGGCACGCAGAGTTAAGGAACGAGAAGAAATAATGATATTCTTTTTGCTGAGTACGTCCTCGGATTATCGTCAGGGAAGAGATGTCCCTCCGATTTTTCCTCTCCCAGGGTGTCCCCGTATACACTATCTACACCTATTTTTTTCCACTTTCATTTCTTTTTTTTCGATCTCTACCCTGGACAGAAAAATAGCAGTCGAAGCTTACTCTTTTCAATCCAGAGGAAAGGGATAAGCCGCATCCGAACACTTAAATAAACCTGCCAAATCCCTTCCAGCCCACCCACTCGCTATACCCTCCCTTCTCACTCTCTCCTCTCTCCCCTCGTTCACACCTCGTCCCCATTCTTGCACTCTAGCTTTCTCCCTTCCACTCCCCCCTCCCCTCCAGCTATCCCACTCTCGTATTCGTGCTCCCCCTCCCTCCCCCTCTCGCTCCCCATTATGGCCATGTCCGATACGACCCCACTTCTCATTCCCTCACAGACGTCCTCTTCTGTCACCGTGACAAGTCGCTCGAGTGCAGACCTATATCGTCGTCTCCAAGCCTGTCTCGTTCCCGCAGACTCCCCACGTTCAAAGTTCTCAAACTGGTCAAGAACGTTCGAGTGTACACCACTAGCAGTATTCGAACCTTCTGACGTCGACCAGTGTCGATTAATTTTCCAGTTGGCTCATCTAGAAGGCCGTAATGTTCGCATTGTCGGCGAAGGGCTATCGCCCAGCGATTTGGCATGTACCTCCGACTTTATGCTTCGAACCAGTAGATTAAACAAGTTGAGAGTGGTGTGTATTAATCTCATTTCTACTCCTAATGACCCAGTTTTTCGAATTTGAACTGTTTCTGACTCATTTTGGTCATTCGTTTTTGGTGTGCCCATTCTTTTGGAATCCTATAGGTCGACACAGAGAAGCAGTTCGTGGTGTGCGATGGTGGAATCAAATTGGAGGATCTAGAACGTCAGTTGGCCGCGCACCAGCTCGCCCTTCGCAATCTCGGATCAATATCGATGC